CCAGAGGACAGTTCCAAGTTAGTCATTGAGACTGTTAAGCCCAGTCCTAAAGAATATTCGGACGACGACTCTGATGACGAAATAGATATTCCCAAGCCTCAGGACAAACCTATTAGCCATCCAACTTCTTTCGTAACTGATGTTACTGGTGCTGGAGTTAAATCTCCACTTCAATCTGAGGAAAAACCAAAGTCGCCTGAGAAGAAAGATGAAAAGGTCCTAGCTAAACCAGACGATAGTTCAAAGTCAGTTATTGAGAATGTTAAGCCCAGTCCTAAAGAATATTCGGACGACGACTCTGATGACGAAATAGATATTCCCAAGCCCCAGGACAAACCTATTAGCCACCCAACTTCTTTCGTATCTGGTGTTACAGTTGGTGGGCGTAAATCTCCACTTCAATCTGAGGAAAAAACAAAGTCGCCTGAGAAGAAAGACGAAAAGGTCCTAGCTAAGCCAGACGATAGTTCCAAGTCAGTCATTGAGACTGTTAAGCCCAGTCCCAAAGAATATTCGGCCAATGAAGGTGATTCCAAAATTGAGATTCCTAAGCCCCAAGACAAGCCTTTTAGTCAACCAACTCCATTAGGGACACCCTTCACTAGTATCCATGACGTTAAGCCCAAAGAAGTTATTTCCTTCAAGGCAGAAGAAAGTTCAACAACAATTCAAAAAAATATAATGTTCGCAAGCACAAGTATAACAACAGAAGATACCAAGATAGTTATACCGATTGATTCGCTTTCAAACTTGAAAGACGATAAGAGCCCAACCTCATTAGGTGACAAAAAAAAGTCACCAAGAGAGTCAGTGAAGCCTATTTTAAAAGAGTATTCGGACGATGAAAGTGATGAAGAGTTTGGAATTACCAAGCCTCACGATAAGCCTGATAGCTACCCAATATCTTTGGTAACTGCTGTAACAGGTAGTGGGGATAAGGCTCCTCTTTATCCTGAAGAAAAAACAAAGTCGCCTGAGAAGAAAGACGAAAAGGTCCTTGCTAAACCAGACGATAGTTCCAAGTCAGTTATTGAGACTGTTCAGCCTAGTCCCAAAGAATATTCGGACGACGACTCTGATGACGAAATAGATATTCCCAAGCCTCAGGACAAACCTATTAGCCACCCAACTTCTTTCGTAACTGGTGTTACAGGTGCTGAAGTGAAATCTCCACTTCAATATGAGGAAAAACCAAAGTCGAATGAGAAGAAAGACGAAAAGGTCCTAGCTAAACCAGACGATAGTTCAAAGTCTGTCATTGAGACTGTTCAGCCTAGTCCCAAAGAATATTCGGACGACGACTCTGATGACGAAATAGATATTCCCAAGCCCCAAGACAAACCTGTTAGCCAACCAACTTCTTTGGTGACTTCTGTATTAGGTAGTGGGGATAAGTCACCCATTCATCATGAAGAAAAACAAAAGTCGCCTGAGAAGAAAGACGAAAAGGTCCTAGCTAAACCAGACGATAGTTCCAAGTCAGTCATTGAGACTGTTCAGCCTAGTCCCAAAGAATATTCGGACGACGACTCTGATGACGAAATAGATATTCCCAAGCCCCAAGACAAACCTGTTAGCCAACCAATATCTTTGCTAACTTCTGTAACAGGTAGTGGGGATAAGTCTCTTCTTAATACTGCAGAAAAATCACAGTCGCTTGAGAAGAAAGACGAAAAGGACCTAGCTAAACCAGACGATAGTTCCAAGTCAGTCATTGAGACTGTTAAGCCCAGTCCTAAAGAATATTCGGCCAATGAAGGTGATTCCAAAATTGAGATTCCTAAGCCACAAGACAAGCCTTTTAGTCAACCAACTCCATTAGTGACACCCTTCACTAGTATCCATGACGTTAAGCCCAAAGAAGTTATATCCTTCAAGGCAGAAGAAAGTTCAACAACAATTCAAAAAAATATAATGTTCGCAAGCACAAGTATAACAACAGAAGATACCAAGATAGTTATACCGATTGGCTCGCTTTCAAACATGAAAGACGATAAGATCAGTCCTCAAGAATATTCGGACGACGACTCTGATGACGAAATAGATATTCCCAAGCCTCAGGACAAACCTATTAGCCATCCAACTTCTTTCGTAACTGATGTTACTGGTGCTGGAGTTAAATCTCCACTTCAATCTGAGGAAAAACCAAAGTCGCCTGAGAAGAAAGATGAAAAGGTCCTAGCTAAACCAGACGATAGTTCAAAGTCAGTTATTGAGACTGTTAAGCCCAGTCCTAAAGAATATTCGGACGACGACTCTGATGACGAAATAGATATTCCCAAGCCCCAGGACAATCCTATTAGCCACCCAACTTCTTTCGTATCTGGTGTTACAGTTGGTGGGCGTAAATCTCCACTTCAATCTGAGGAAAAAACAAAGTCGCCTGAGAAGAAAGACGAAAAGGTCCTAGCTAAGCCAGACGATAGTTCCAAGTCAGTCATTGAGACTGTTAAGCCCAGTCCCAAAGAATATTCGGACAAGCCCCAAGACAAACCTATTAGCCACCCAACTTCTTTCGTAACTAGTGTTACAGGTGCTGAAATAAAATCTACACTTCAATCTGAGGAAAAACCGAAATCACCTGAGAAGAAAGACGAAAAGGTCCTAGCTAAACCCGACGATAGTTCAAAGTCAGTTATTGAGACTGTTAAGCCCAGTCCCAAAGAATATTCGGCCAATGAAGGTGATTCCAAAATTGAGATTCCTAAGCCACAAGACAAGCCTTTTAGTCAACCAACTCCATTAGTGACACCCTTCACTAGTATCCATGACGTTAAGCCCAAAGAAGTTATATCCTTGAAGGCAGAAGAAAGTTCAACAACAATTCAAAAAAATATAATGTTCGCAAGCACAAGTATAACAACAGAAGATACCAAGATAGTTATACCGATTGATTCGCTTTCAAACTTGAAAGACGATAAGAGCCCAACCTCATTAGGTGACCAAACAAAGTCACCAAGAGAGTCAGTGAAGCCTATTTTAAAAGAGTATTCGGACGATGAAAGTGATGAAGAGTTTGGAATTACCAAGCCTCACGATAAGCCTGATAGCCAGTGTTTGGTAACTGCTGTAACAGGTAGTGGGGATAAGTCTCCCATTCATCATGAAGAAAAACCAAAGTCGCCTGAGAAGAAAGACGAAAAGGTCCTAGCTAAACCAGACGATAGTTCCAAGTCAGTCATTGAGACTGTTCAGCCTAGTCCCAAAGAATATTCGGACGAAGACTCTGATGACGAAATAGATATTCCCCAGCCACAAGACAAGCCTATTAGCCAACCAACTTCTTTGGTGACTTCTTTATTAGGTAGTGGGGATAAGGCCCCTCTTTATCCTGAAGAAAAAACAAAGTCGCCTGATAAGAAAGACGATAAGGTCCTAGCTAAACCAGAAGACAGTTCCAAGTCAGTCATTGAGACTGTTCAGCCTAGTCCCAAAGAATATTCGGACGAAGACTCTGATGACGAAATGGACATTCCCAAGCCCCAAGACAAACAGGTTAGTCACCCAACTTCATTGGTAACTTCTGTAACAGGTAGTGTGGATAAGTCTCTTCTTAATACTGCAGAAAAATCACAGTCGCCTGAGAAGAAAGACGATAAGGTCCTTGCTAAACCAGAGGACAGTTCCAAGTTAGTCATTGAGACTGTTAAGCCCAGTCCTAAAGAATATTCGGACGACGACTCTGATGACGAAATAGATATTCCCAAGCCTCAGGACAAACCTATTAGCCATCCAACTTCTTTCGTAACTGATGTTACTGGTGCTGGAGTTAAATCTCCACTTCAATCTGAGGAAAAACCAAAGTCGCCTGAGAAGAAAGATGAAAAGGTCCTAGCTAAACCAGACGATAGTTCAAAGTCAGTTATTGAGACTGTTAAGCCCAGTCCTAAAGAATATTCGGACGAAGACTCTGATGACGAAATAGATATTCCCAAGCCCCAGGACAAACCTATTAGCCACCCAACTTCTTTCGTATCTGGTGTTACAGTTGGTGGGCGTAAATCTCCACTTCAATCTGAGGAAAAAACAAAGTCGCCTGAGAAGAAAGACGAAAAGCTCCTAGCTAAGCCAGACGATAGTTCCAAGTCAGTCATTGAGACTGTTAAGCCCAGTCCCAAAGAATATTCGGCCAATGAAGGTGATTCCAAAATTGAGATTCCTAAGCCCCAAGACAAGCCTTTTAGTCAACCAACTCCATTAGGGACACCCTTCACTAGTATCCATGACGCTAAGCCCAAAGAAGTTATTTCCTTCAAGGCAGAAGAAAGTTCAACAATTCAAAAAAATATAATGTTCACAAGTACAAGTATAACAACAGAAGATACCAAGATAGTTATACCGATTGATTCGCTTTCAAACTTGAAAGACGATAAGAGCCCAACCTCATTAGGTGACAAAACAAAGTCACCAAGAGAGTCAGTGAAGCCTATTTTAAAAGAGTATTCGGACGATGAAAGTGATGAAGAGTTTGGAATTACCAAGCCTCACGATAAGCCTGATAGCTACCCAATATCTTTGGTAACTGCTGTAACAGGTAGTGGGGATAAGGCTCCTCTTTATCCTGAAGAAAAAACAAAGTCGCCTGAGAAGAAAGACGAAAAGGTCCTAGCTAAACCAGACGATAGTTCCAAGTCAGTCATTGAGACTGTTCAGCCTAGTCCCAAAGAATATTCGGACGACGACTCTGATGACGAAATAGATATTCCCAAGCCTCAGGACAAACCTAATAGCCATCCAACTTCTTTCGTAACTGATGTTACTGGTGCTGGAGTTAAATCTCCACTTCAATCTGAGGAAAAACCAAAGTCATTAGGTGACAAAACAAAGTCACCAAGAGAGTCAGTGAAGCCTATTTTAAAAGAGTATTCGGACGATGAAAGTGATGAAGAGTTTGGAATTACCAAGCCTCACGATAAGCCTGATAGCTACCCAATATCTTTGGTAACTGCTGTAACAGGTAGTGGGGATAAGGCTCCTCTTTATCCCGAAGAAAAAACAAAGTCGCCTGAGAAGAAAGACGAAAAGGTCCTAGCTAAACCAGACGATAGTTCCAAGTCAGTCATTGAGACTGTTCAGCCTAGTCCCAAAGAATATTCGGACGACGACTCTGATGACGAAATAGATATTCCCAAGCCTCAGGACAAACCTATTAGCCACCCAACTTCTTTCGTAACTGGTGTTACAGGTGCTGAAGTGAAATCTCCACTTCAATATGAGGAAAAACCAAAGTCGCCTGAGAAGAAAGACGAAAAGGTCCTAGCTAAACCAGACGATAGTTCAAAGTCTGTCATTGAGACTGTTCAGCCTAGTCCCAAAGAATATTCGGACGACGACTCTGATGACGAAATAGATATTCCCAAGCCCCAAGACAAACCTGTTAGCCAACCAACTTCTTTGGTGACTTCTGTAACAGGTAGTGGGGATAAGTCTCCCATTCATCATGAAGAAAAAACGAAGTCGCCTGAGAAGAAAGACGATAAGGTCCTAGCTAAACCAGAAGACAGTTCCAAGTCAGTCATTGAGACTGTTCAGCCTAGTTCAGACGACGACTCTGATGACGAAATAGATATTCCCAAGCCTCAGGACAAACCTATTAGCCACCCAACTTCTTTCGTAACTGGTGTTACAGGTGCTGAAGTGAAATCTCCACTTCAATCTGAGGAAAAACCAAAGTCGCCTGAGAAGAAAGACGAAAAGGTCCTAGCTAAACCAGACGATAGTTCCAAGTCAGTCATTGAGACTGTTAAGCCCAGTCCCAAAGAATATTTGGACGAAGACTCTGATGACGAAATAAATATTCCCAACCCACAAGACAAGCCTATTAGCCAACCAACTTCTTTGGTGACTTCTGTATTAGGTAGTGGGGATAAGGCTCCTCTTTATCCTGAAGAAAAAACAAAGTCGCCTGAGAGGAAAGACGATAAGGTCCTGGCTAAACCAGAAGACAGTTATAAGTCTGTCATTGAGACTGTTCAGCCTAGTCCCAAAGAATATTCCGACCACGACTCTGATGACGAAATAGATATTCCCAAGCCCCAAGACAAACCTGTTAGCCAACCAACTTCTTTGGTGACTTCTGTATTAGGTAGTGGGGATAAGTCACCCATTCATCATGAAGAAAAACAAAAGTCGCCTGAGAAGAAAGACGAAAAGCTCCTAGCTAAGCCAGACGATAGTTCCAAGTCAGTCATTGAGACTGTTAAGCCCAGTCCCAAAGAATATTCGGCCAATGAAGGTGATTCCAAAATTGAGATTCCTAAGCCCCAAGACAAGCCTTTTAGTCAACCAACTCCATTAGGGACACCCTTCACTAGTATCCATGACGCTAAGCCCAAAGAAGTTATTTCCTTCAAGGCAGAAGAAAGTTCAACAACAATTCAAAAAAATATAATGTTCACAAGTACAAGTATAACAACAGAAGATACCAAGATAGTTATACCGATTGATTCGCTTTCAAACTTGAAAGACGATAAGATCCCAACCTCATTAGGTGACAAAACAAAGTCACCAAGAGAGTCAGTGAAGCCTATTTTAAAAGAGTATTCGGACGATGAAAGTGATGAAGAGTTTGGAATTACCAAGCCTCACGATAAGCCTGATAGCTACCCAATATCTTTGGTAACTGCTGTAACAGGTAGTGGGGATAAGTCTCCCATTCATCATGAAGAAAAACCAATCTCGCCTGAGCAGAAAGACGAAAAGGTCCTAGCTAAACCAGACGATAGTTCCAAGTCAGTCATTGAGACCGTTCAGCCCAGTCCCAAAGAATATTCGGACGAAGACTCTGATGACGAAATACATATTCCCAAGCCTCAAGACCAGCCTATTAGCCAACCAACTTCTTTGGTGACTTCTGTATTAGAAAAACCAAAGTCACCAAGAGAGTCAGTGAAGCCTATTTTAAAAGAGTATTCGGACGATGAAAGTGATGAAGAGTTTGGAATTATCAAGCCTCACGATAAGCCTGATAGCTACCCAATATCTTTGGTAACTGCTGTAACAGGTAGTGGGGATAAGTCTCCCATTCATCATGAAGAAAAACCAAAGTCGCCTGAGCAGAAAGACGAAAAGGTCCTAGCTAAACCAGACGACAGTTCCAAGTCAGTCATTGAGACTGTTCAGCCTAGTCCCAAAGAATATTCGGACGAAGACTCTGATGACGAAATGGACATTCCCAAGCCACAAGACAAACCTGTTAGCCAACCAACTTCTTTGGTGACTTCTGTATTAGGTAGTGGGGATAAGGCTCCTCTTTATCCTGAAGAAAAACCAAAGTCGCCTGAGAAGAAAGACGAAAAGGTCCTAGCTAAGCCAGACGACAGTTCCAAGTCAGTCATTGAGACTGTTAAGCCCAGTCCTAAAGAATATTCGGACGACGACTCTGATGACGAAATGGACATTATCAAGCCCCAAGACAAACCTGTTAGCCACCCAACTTCATTGGTAACTTCTGTAACAGGTAGTGGGGATAAGTCTCTTCTTCATACTGCAGAAAAAACAAAGTCGCCTGAGAAGAAAGACGATAAGGTCCTAGCTAAGCCAGACGACAGTTCCAAGTCAGTCATTGAGACTGTTGAGCTCAGTCCAGTAAAATATTCGGACGCTGACGATATTAAAATTCGCAAGCCTCAAGACAATCTTGTTTGTGAATTAACATCATCGCTAACCACATTAACTAGTATCTCTGACATATGTCCAAAGGAAGTTACACCTATTATGTCAGAAGAAGTTTTAACCCCATTACAAACCAACTCAAAATCTGCGAGCACCAGTGAAACAACAGTAGATATCCAGACATTTAAGCCAATAGCCGAGGCTGTTGGTCAGATGACTTTTTTGTTAAGTCATTCGGAGGAAAAGTCACATGGAATTAGTGCCATTGCACAGAAATGTCAGGCGCAGGAAACCTATTTAGATCATGCAGGTGTTGATTTGGTTTCTGATTCTGAAGAAAATAGGTCTGTTCAACAGATTGTAGAGGATACCATCAGGGCTGGTAATGCTGAGGTACAAAAAATTGTTGACGAAACACTGAAAAGTGTTCAGAAAACGAGAAATATTAAGGATCAGGGTGTAGATGAAGGTCGTTCAGTTGAACAAATAGTTGAAGATACTCTTAAGAATGCCAAATTCATTCCTGATATTTCTACAGAAGATAAAATCTGTTGCCCCCAGCCAAAAGAAACTGAAGTTCGTCCGGTTGCTTACTTTGTAAATTTGGTCGATGAACAGAAATTAATAGCTCCAGTTAAAAAGGCACCAGTTAGATCACAATCGAAAAAAATAATTAAGTCAAAGACGGGGAAAATATTAGAGGAGGCTTCTGCAAAACCGACGAATAAGTCAACTATTAGCAAAAGAACACTCGCGGATAGGGAAAAGTCTAGCCCCAAATCAGTTTCTCCAGCAAAGACGACTACTGTCAAACAAACTCCGACTAGAAAAGTAATAACTATGGACAAATCAAAACTATCAAATAAGACCGAGTCACGACGTTCAGTCACAAGCTCTACTTCGACAACCACCAGTTCAGCTTCCGCTACTAGTCGCGTGATAAGTGAAATACACTTCGAGAGATCATCAAGTCCTGCTTCGAGTTCCATTTTCTACGAAAGCCAACCGCAAGGTGAAGGCAGTCGTTCTACCACTCCAAGACCTAGGGTTAAGACTGATGTCACACGAATACCCTACAATACCTCGCCTCGATCGTTTAGTCCACAGCTAAAAACCACAAAGACAGACAGGAAAGTCGTAAACCAAACTAAAACAACTGTCACTCGATCTACCAAAGAGCTTACGGAAAAGAGTTCCAAAAAGACTGAGCGAACCGGCAGCCAAGAGCACGTTGAAAAGCGGAAAACTCCGACACCGTCTGCCACCCACAGATACATGCAACCCACCCTGGCCCATAGCATGAGGTACGGTTTGAGTGGCGATGGCGACATTGGCCAGAGTGTCTCCTCGGCACCACCAAAGTCGCCGGCACCACCCAAATCGCCAGCTCCGGCCCTAACTAAAAGTACTCGAAAAACACAAACTGTTACAAGTGCCTTGACAAAGTCCACAACCCAAATAACGAAACAAAAAAACTCGATTGCTGAGAAGAAACCAGCGCAGACCCGTTCCCAGATTAAGAGAGGCTCACAGAGCGATAGCAAGGAATCCCTAATAAAAAGCACCGACCGCCTATACAAACGACAAACATCCAAGGAAAATAAACTAGCAAACGTGATAGGCTCCAAGAGCCAAGCAACCAAAAGCATGAAGACACAATCAGCTAATTCAGCCATAAAACTTGTCTACAAAACTTCCATAGAAACCGACAACAAGCTTCTGAAGAAGACCACAGCCACTATACAGCGCACCAAAGTTCCGATTAGCGTGTCTTCCAGTGCAAGGACTGCATCAAAGCTAAGCAAGAGTGCTGACACCGTCAAGAGACCTCAGGTAGACAATAAGAAACCAGTAAAGCGAACGGTAAGCAAAGTAAGTGAATCCAGTGGCACCATGAACACCACAGCTACATCGACCAGAACCGTGCAGAGCTCCATGGAGCCAAAGCTGCAGAAGAAGATGAAGGACACGATGAACGAGTCGAGTTCGAACTCGGGAAGCGGCACCACCAGTACCAGTGGTTCATCAAATAGTACGCGACGAAGTGTGCGATCCGTTAGCACGGCCAGCCGCAAAACGGACAAGGACTTGACCAACATCCGGCGAGCAAGTGGAGCGGTTGTTTCGACATCGACCGTACGGGTGCATCGGGAACCAACAGCAACCACCAGCGCTGTTAGCACCGTGCTCGTTGATGACGACTGTGAGGTGATAACCATACGTTCCATTAAATCAAGCGATAGTACAAAAAGTTCTACCTCATCATCCTCCGGTAGCGGCAGCAACAGTCGCAAGGTGCTAACCAGCGAGGTGTTCACTAAAACCTTCGGCCCCGACAAGCCGCTCGAGGTGGTCTATCGACAGCCAGAATTTGATGTAGAACACCACACGATCATGTCCGTGCGCCCGCCCTCCACGACAAGCAGCGATCAGCGGTGCATTAACGAGTTCGATGTCAGTTTCATCGACACCACCGACTCCAGCCTCTCGGATTCTGTTGCCTTACCCATGCTAGGCTCCGGTGATCCTGATCGCCTGCTGGCCGCCAGCCCCGGTTCGCCCAAGCCCACCCGCAGCCCCCTGGCCCTTATTGAGGAGACCCTGCGCCGCCAGCAACAGCACCACCATCATCATCAGCAACACCACCACCACAGTAGCGGTGCTATTGCTGCTGCCCTTGAGCCTTCTTTGTCGATGCCAGTGGCTTTTGCAGAGAGTCAACTGGAGGCGGAGGTAGGGCTGGAGAAGGGCAGCACTTCCAAAGGTAACTATGGTACTTACGTATATTCAAGATACTTGTTAGGTCGAGATCACAATGATACTTAAGATACGCTTAGCTACGATACCCATCATATCTAGGGCTTAGTTTAAAAATGCAACTTTTCTTATTGATATGCCTATGTATGAAATGCTTTTACTTAACCCATTTTTAACTTATTCTCCACAAATAGCAAACATAAATAACTAAAGCCGTCAAACTCAAGCCATAATACACAATAGCACAGACCCACCAAATAAAGCCTAACATAATGTCCAAGAAACTCCCAACTATATCCGTAACTGCCGACAAGCGATCCACCCATTCCGACTTATCCTCCTCATCGTCATCCCACGACACAGATAGCAATGACATGGACTATGGGCGCCATGGCGGCGGGGGCGTGACCGACGTCGAAGATTTTGACAGTCAGGTGGAGGTGCTAAAACCAAGCTCCCGTCGAAATTCTTGTAACTCCTCCCTGAAGCCCAAAGCTCATCATAAGGCGAATGCGGGAGACAACGATGTGACTGATGTGGAGGACTACGACACAGAATCGGAAGATGATGAGAAGAGCACAGCGTACCCAGAACTAAAGCTGTCACTGAGGGAGTTTCTCCAACAGGGACTCCAGAACCAAGAAGCCGTCGATAATGATGCCAAGGAGAGCTGTGAGATAAAAGCCGGAGATTTCGTGCAAGCACAAAACCTGAATGGTATGGCAGACTATCTGACTGACTGCGAAGACTATGACACCGATTCCGAAGTTGGATATGGTTGCGAGAAATCGGTGTGCGTTGATCTCGATCAAGCAATGGGAGATCAGGGGCGAGTGAATATAGCAGATGGCGAGAAGAACCAAGACGACTCCGATCAGTATGAAGATGTTTCTGTGATTAGCGATATAAGCGATTTGGCCTCAGCCATGTCCGATTGCACTGGCATTGGGGTGCGTGGCATGTCCGAGGATGAAGTTTTGGAGGTATCCGATAGTGGTCACGAAGAGGTTTGCAACATTGCCTGCTCGGAATCAGAGTCCGAGTCTGAGGGAGCAGCTGCACTGAGCCAGAGTGCAAGTGAGGCTAGTTTTCCGGCAATTGATGTGGCCTTCGTTAGTGCCAGTGGACAGCCACGTCGAAACTCGAAATGCAGTATACCCACGCCTGGACAGAAAAATTTCCTACAGCTGGCTTCAAAACACGAAGAGGTTTTAACTGACGTTGAGGGTATTGACGACTCTGCCGCCGAAGATAGCTTTGACAACGAGGAGGAGGACGAACAACCCATACCACGTGCCATAATCCTTGCGTCTGGCGATGATGGGACCTGCCTAACTGATGTCGAGGACATGTTCTGTGAAGACAGTTCGCTGTCCACCAGTGCTGAACCGGAAATTCATTCAATCTGCCCCGAGGTCTTACCACTGCCCCATCGTGAAGTAGTAGAACTGAAGGAGGACAAGTACGGGGACACAATTACCAATGTCATGCCCATGGACAGGAACTACGAGTTTGGCATTTACAACCACCTAAAGGACATGATCCACACTGATTCCGAGGACTATTCGTGTGCCGATGAGTGGAGCCTTCAACATTCTGTGGCTGAGGATGCAGCAATGGGAGGACCGAGTCTAATTGAAAACGAAGTAATTGTATCCAATGAACTATTGAAGCAGCAGCAAAACAAGCGCCTGGAGGTGCAGACCAATGCCGAATCCGTAACAGATGTTGAGGAAATCTTCGTGGCCGGAATAAATCGCCGCAAAAAGTTGAAGACCCGTACTCTTAGCAAGGGCAAGAACAAACTACTTGACGCCGTGAAGGGCAAAGAGGATGGAGTCACAGATGTCGAGGATATGGACCTAAGTGAGTGCGGCTTACCCTTGGGAGTGAAGCGCGTGGAGCAGCTTAAGCAACAGGCAAAGGGATCAAATGCGGACAAATCCTCAGAATCTGATGATGTATCCACCGATGATGTCTCCGACATCTCTGACGTCTCCGACGTGCCACTGCTATCGACAGGTGATAAAACTAGCGGCAAGACAAAGCCACAACCGCTGCACTTCCGTCTGCTTAAAGATGATATGCTAAATCAGGAGAATACCGATGTCGAGGACGTTCAGTTGCCTTCGGATGCGGAGGATGCTCTGGAACCACCGGCCATTCCGGTGGCCAACAGCAATAGTAAGGAGCTGAATGATATGTTGAACGAGAGCTATACGGTGGTGCACGAGAAGAGTGGTCGCAGTTTCAACAGCGAGGCCGAGAAGCTACATGCTAAAGGCGTGATCCGAGATGCCCATACCGACGTTGAGTATGTTGAGTCTGACGAGTCAGCCGCCAGGGGAGGCAACTAGCGTGCTTCCCGTGTCCGCAGCCAATCCGACTCGAATCAGTCCCAAGCTGTTGCCAAAATAAATCTCAACAATAGTTAATAAGTGTTCATAGATACGAAAACCCAACACACACACTCTCAAGCATTTTGTAAGTAAAGCCAACAATTACCAACCATTTTCGTTAAAGTTCTTACCACAATAAATGCAGCAAAAAGCCTTAAATCTACTCGCATCGCTCCCATACGACTAATCTCTGTACCCGTGCCATACTAACAAATTTCTAAACATCACCTATGCGTCGTTGTACTAACACTCACAATCTATTGTAATTCCCAATTGTACTTGATGCTAACAAAAGTGATACTTAAAATTCGTTTCGTTTGTTCTTGTTTCGATTGTCTGTAAATCATTCATTATCATTTCGTTTGTAGATTAATATAATAATGTAGTTCTAGGTCACTTTTGTGTTTGTTCCTCAAACAACTTGGGCTCGTCTAACATTGGTTTTGTTTATTGCAGAAACCCTTCAGGAAAAAAAAGTAGACCTATCCACTCTGGATACCGCAATGATCTCACATGAAATTGGTAAGTTTTGGTCGCAGAAATTTAACATTTGTTTGTCATAAATATTGTAATACATAATGCTTAATTGGTATGCCAAATTGATCAGTTGTTCGTATTTGTTTCCTAAATGCAATTAAAGCTCATTGACAAAATAATTTCAACGGAATTATGTTTGATATAAACTTTCGACTCAGTGCCACAGATCTCGCTCACATCACCAATCAACCTCACCGCCATCAGCTATCACACATAATCTTGCACATACTGCTCGCTTCTCATGCTCTACATGATTTCCCAGCTTGACCTTACTTTCTTACGCGCTCTCACTTTCTATTTCAATCTGTCCAATTTCTACCTACCATTCAACTGTGCAATTGTCTTCCAGGTGATGTTAAAGTTGGTGGTGGTGATGATGATAGTGATGGCGATGGCGGAGATCTTGTTGCACGCATTCGCGAGGAAGCCAATATTCTGGTGGATCGCGTGCTCGAAGAAAGTGTCGAGATCATTGAGAGTCACGGCCATCAGGCCAATGGCCACGAGATCGCTAAGCTGGACTACAACTCAGAAAGTGAGAATTATGCCATCACATGCGACGATATCGGCGGCGTCGATGTTATCAAATCGCCCACCATTGAGTCCATGTCGGGCAAGTCGTTTGACGACAACATGAGCTTCACCGACGAGCACATACATTTACCCTTGCATGCCCAGAACACGACCACCACCATGACAACGACAATTACCACTCAGTTCCAACAGCAGCAGTCCCAGTCTGCTGTCCCAAGTACATCGGCGGCAAAAGGTAACATACCATATAGATCTGAGGTAGTCCCAACGCTAGCCTAGAGTTTAGGATAGTAGCTTGAGGCGAATTAGTATGCATAGTGTTGTTTAGTCCGTTTGCTATAACCACTCTCCTGAATTGTTTGCTTTTTGCTCCCATTCCGCCTCCCATGTGACCTGTACCATATAGATCCGGTTCCAGTTCTCGAATCCGTATCCGTACCCATATCATTTCCAGTAGAGAGTAGTCGAAATCAGGCTGAGGACGAGAGTGAAACGAGAGCCAGGCGCATCGATCGAAAGATCGAGAAACTATCCACGGACATGGACGATGTAAGCGCCAAGTTCGATGAGGCGTTTGAGATGTCGGTGCCCGAGGACGAGATCAGCGCCCTGCAGGGCGACTTTTCCAAACTTAGCTGGGATGAAAGCGTTTCCCCCACGACCAACACCATGGCCGATATGGCACAAAACCAAATAACTCCCGATAACGATATACAAGATCTCATCGCAGGTACCCAAAGCAAAAGCGAAGCGCTTAGTGATAAGCTATGATTTCCATTTTATTTGCCTCATTTAATGCCGTTGACAGAGCAAAAAGACTCACTATAGATGTATATGCTGTATTCCTTTTGATTTGTATTGTCCTAGTGAAATGGCAGAAACATAATCGCGGCCAATAATTACCTTTTGACTGTTCAAGTTGAGCTCTAATTGCATTTAAATTTTTAAATTCATTTTGTACTCATATCATATGAAATATGCATGCTCTCCTATACTAACCTATACTACCTATCTATCTCTATATACTTATGTTTCCTATGCTAACCATATACTTGAATGCATATACCCTTATCTCACCTACTCTATTTCCTGTTTCTATCCCGTACTCGTATTTACTCTTCCTCATCTTTTGTTCTCGACTTTCACAACACTTTTAAAATTGCTTTCGTTTTCACACCTATTGTTTTGTAGAAACAGGCGGCGATTTACCAAACTCAAGTGAAACCGATACCACTCCCGTACCACCGTCGAAAGAATCGGAAACCAAAACCGAAACTGAGCCGACGGTAGTAACCAATGCATTCACTACCACCAGCCACGATACACCCACACCAAAACCAAGAGTACTTAAAGCAAATTCCCCCGTCTCCGAAGGCACTGATAGCACTACCATCCCTGGCCCAGTGCCGAAGCCCGAAATACCGATTGATATTAGTTTTGATGCCGCCGCACCGGTTCCAAAGCCCCGTGCTCCTATTAAGCACACGGAACCTTTCGAAAACCTGGCTGCCCTAGCTGAACAGTCTGATAGCATTAGTCTGAGGAGCTTTGAGCTTACAGAGGACATCTCCAAGACGGACGAGCCCTCCACAGAGCTCTCCATTCGATCCCAGCTGCGGGACATAATCACCAACACCACCACAGCTTCGGAGGATCACACCGAAAGCTTCGAGCCAACGAGTGAGATATCCGTGGATGATGCCGACACTGAAAAATCAGAGGGTGCCGAAAAGACCACTAGCTTTTATATTGGGGAGTCCAGTCGTAATGTGATCATCAAGACATCGACAAGATCTGCAAGCGTTACACCGCAAGAAGAGGAAGCTCAGGGCGAAATTGGCATTGATGCTAAAGATATTTCCCTAATGAAGGAGGTATCCGTTGATTCTGACGAAGCCAGCGATGTTTTCAAGGAGTTTATTACCATGAAGCCCGAAGATCCTGCTGCATTGGACAGCAAGATAACCAGACAAGGCTCGGAAACCCGGAATGACATACTCGAATTCGAGAATGCTGATAAGGACAAGAGTGCAGAGCAAAAGCTGTCCAAGGTAACGACCGAGGAGAGCTTGACCACATCCACCGGGTCCAGCGGTCGAGCCATCATTGAAATCGCTCCTTCGAGCAGCGAAGATCCCGATGAGTCCAGCAAGGAAATTCCGGAAATTGTAAATACAATCTCTGAGAAGGCAGCCTCCACTGATAGATTTGAATTGCCCTTGGAGAAAAGTGAGTGGGAAACATCGGAAAAAGAAATCCCAACTGCGGGCAAACAAAAAGTGGTCCACTCGCCCCAACAACCCCAGGAAACCAGCATGAGAAGTACGCTTGATAAGTTTCTCGTAGAGGAAGTTCTTGACGAAGGACAGAACACTGGGGATCACTCCAGCAGTGATCATAAGACTAATAACCAGCAGGAAGACTTGATCCAGGAGACCTCTTCAGAACTGGAATCGAGTCACATGCCTCAGGCATTCTCTTTTGCGGGTGAAAGCGAGGATATCTCATCATTCATTGGCATACCCGAAACAAGCATGCATACCTCCACTTTGGATAGTACTCAGCCTCCGGAAGGTCTGTTCGACACCACAATCAAGGAGACCCTTAATAAGCAAGCGGCAATGGCCCATTATGCCCAAGATGTCTTTGGCAGAGGGGAAAGACGTGATGACCACGGCTCGCTAGGTTTCATTTCCACCGGCACAGCCGAGGAGTTGAGCTCCATGGAAGAACACATGGCAAAGGAGGAACAAGCCTCATTGGGCTTTATTTCAACTGAAACCGCCGAGGATTTCAGCTCCATGGAAGATTACTATTCAGAGAAATTGGCCGTCGCCAGTGTCATTGCTGATGAGGCTGCAACCGAAAAATCAATTACAACTAGCACCTTTGAAGAGCTTTCGTCTGATCAATCCATGAAGCCAATTGACGCTGTGGTTCATCGACTTAAAACCGAGACATCGCCGGACTCCATGAACCGCTGGTCCATTCCCGATGTAGACACCTCCAGCTCAAGCGAGAGCTTCCACAGAAGCTTCGACAAGACTCAAAGTCGACCTTTGTCCTCAGACTTGGATAACCTTTTAACCACCACTGGCACTGGAACCTCCAGTGAGTACCAAACAGCGCGGGAATTCACCACCACTGGTCGCACAGAGGGAACCGAATATATTAGTGCAGTCAGCACCCTCGGAAGCAGTAGCTTAGATTCACAGTCGGAGACTTCGGCCAATTTGGCCAGCATTGATGTGTCCGAGCTGTCGGAGACATTGGTGGCCTCCTCTGCTGAAGTCGATGCCTTTGAGGCCGAAGAGATGTCGCGTCTGCGCGATCTTCGCGCCGATGACGAGGACAGTGATGAGAGTGTAGAACTGCCAGGAACTGCCTATCCGACCAGCGAACAGCAGAGCCTCATGAAGCGCTCCCAGGAAATGATTTTCAAGCCAAAAACTCTGGACGAGGAGCCTTTGCCCGTTCAGGTTGCGCAAATCGAGGAATATCCTAAGCCCAAGGAGGCGGAGCGCACCTGGGGCCTGGCCTATCCCTTGGAGGATAGCAAGGTGGATAGTCCGCGGGAGAGTGAAAAAAGCGAGGACATCCTCTTGTATCACACAGATCCACGTCGGTCCATTGACGAGTCTAAGCTGGCCTCCAGCCTAGACGAAGGCAGCATTCTATCCGTGAGCATGTCAAGCACATCCAACATCGATACTGTTGTAGAGAACTTTGATGATATTATTGGATCTGCCGGATCTTCTTCGTTGACCGGTATCGAGGGTTTCCAGTACGGCCATGATGAGTCTATTCCATCTGCCTCAGTGCCCGAAGACGCCACATTTATGCTGGAAATGGAGAGCAAAGAGCATTCACCGCAGGATTCTAATGCCAGTACTCCTCCAGGCGGGGAATCAAAACGGCGCGGTCACAAACGTAATGAGAGCATCTCGGGAGATGCCTTGAAAAACTTGGACAAGGAGGTTGCATTACTGGGCGAGGGCAAGGAATCAGAAAGCGAATCTGACACGGATCCCTACGAATCGGAATATGCCCGCCAGTTCCGTTCCCCCAAAGAACGAAAGAGCAAAAAGAAGAAGCAGGCGGCAGCCGAAATGGATCACAGTGGCGAGCTGGAAAAGCGTCCATTTACACCATCCCAGTTGGTAGCCGAGGTCATCGTGGAGGACAGTGTCACAGAGGAGTTAGAGGCAGAGGCTGCGATGATCGAGGAGCGCCGCCCATCTCAAAATATGCAGGACTATTCAAACATACCCGACATTATGGTCACGGAAGACATCAAATCACCCATCCTGGAGGAGGAGACCGACGAGTTCCCCGAGAAGATGCTCTACAAAGTGCGCACCGAGGAGGAATTGCACAAGGCAAGCGACACCTCGGTATACCAAAAGGCCAAGGCCGAGGAGAAGGAGCAGGACTTTCAACGACGAGTGCAGGAACAATACCGTCAGAAGCTCGAGGAACTGAAGCGCGCTGAAGTGGGAGCTGAATACGATGATCGCAAGGCTCCCGATTCACCAGACTCCTTTGAAATGGTCGAACAACCCGATATCTCAGATGAATTCGTCATCATTGAGGAGGTGGCCAAGGAGGCCAACGAAGTAGATCTCGGCGGTCAGAGCATTAAGATTAAACCAATTAAGTACGAGCAAAAGCACGACGAGGATGTTGAGAAGATCATCATCAAGTCAGCGCCTGCGGATCCAAAGCTGGGATCCCAGCTCTACAAGGACGATCTGAATTTTGAGTTCGAGGAAAGTCCTCCCACTGGAGCCAGCAGTAGTAGCGAGCAGCAGGAGGAGAGCGATTCCAGTGAAACCGCAGCTGCCAACAAGCGCTGGGTTGAGATGCAGTTGACCGACAACCAGCTGCGGTATCCATACGATTTAGCCGGAGCCGTGCTGGAGGACATTAAAGAGGAAGACGGAGAGTTTGAGGTGGGCAGTAGCCGCATCAGCAGTTTCAAAGACTCCTTCTCGAGCACCCCCGAATACGATGTGGCAGCACGGCGCTATCATTCCCGTGGCGAGCACGACGATGTCTCAATGAGTAGTCTACAGGAGTTTGAGTCTCTGGAGCAAGCCATTTCGCTGGAGAACCGGAATCGCACACACCAAGGCTCCACGGATTCGAGCAATGGAAGCTTCACCCGCCGATATGTGGTTCGTCACAGTGGCAGTGGAACTGCCCCCGGTGACGATGTATCGGTCTCAAGTCTCAAGGACTTCGAGGGTCTCGAGAATGCCTGCATTGAAGCCCACCTGATTGAGATCAAGGCCAGGGAGGAAGCGGCATTACTTTCGCGCTCTGATGAGTCCAATAAATCGAATGGCAGCGATAAAGGAGCCGCGGGTAATGTTGTCGTGACCAAGGTGACGCGCACCGTAACCCGCACCGAAGTGGTGCCCTCCAGTCAAGTAGAGAGCATCGAAGCGCTGCTAAAGCAGAAGCTGGAGCGGGAGGAAGGATCCGTTCAAGGGAAAGTCACCGACATGAGCACCACTGAGTTGGATACCAAGTCCAAGATTGACAGCCAGGACTCCGAAAAGGATAGCATCGATAGCATGGAGATCAGCAAGAGCCACGACATGATGACCAGCAGCATTGAGAGCTTTGACATCTCCAAGGATGCCACCACGAGATCGGACATTGACTCCTTGGAGATCGACAAGCGACACTCGCGACAGGAGAGCATAGAATCCTTCGGCGATGAGCAGCTGGATCTTATGACCAAGTTCGTAAGCGGCGGCGGTGGAGTGACACTGGGTGATGGCCTGACCACCACCACGACCACGACAACCACCAGCACGGATGCCGATGGGCACGAGCACACGGTGACCAGGGTGATAACCACTACAACAAATGTGGGTGGTGGCATCCAGGAACTTCCCATGGATGAGTCCGGAATGTCGAAGGACGTATCGGTGGATTCCTTAAACATGTGCGTGGAGCAAACAACCAGTTCGGCTGGCACAACGGCCACCTACCAGACTAGCGCTGGTAATTCCCAGATGTCCGGGAGCGTTACCAGCTGTGCCTCCAGCACTCTCATGGAGGATTCGTTCCCTGGTGTGGGTGGCATGTCGTCGTCACAAATGTCGGCCAGTTTTTGGTCCCACGATGAGTCCACGGTGGTCGAGGATGAAGGACGCGATCTCGCCAAGCAGCCACACCAAGGCCACTAAACGCTGGATGGGATTAGGAGACAGACTCTTAGGGACAGAGAGAAAGAGCGAGAGGGAGAAGATATGAGATATATATGAGATGTCACACGTAATCCCATATGAAAATGGGGCTTGAACGGTGACTTAGAATATTTGGCTAGGTAAGCATCACACGGCAAGGCTGCGCGGCTTATCGTTTTACTTTTGTTTTGTGTCTTTACTTGGTCTTCGATTTAGAAGCAGAGCTCAACTTTGACAGAGAAAAGTAATACTCGCCGCTCTACTTAGTGCAAAATAGTTATTAAATAAGATTCTTCTCGTTCTATTTTTACAGACAAGGCGCCCTTCTAGACGCAGCACTAATGAAGGAGTCTCTGGACGAGGAACGCATCTTTACCGGCTCTGAACATCACCGATTTCAAATCGAACAGCGAGAGGGATTTATTAATTAGCAAATTTGACATTTTCCATCTACACACACACAGACATACCCCCCACACACACACACACATTTTTAATGATATTGAAGTGCATACACGAGTTTTTAAAGGCAAATATATATATTTTATATATTTATAAAAACTATAAAATCGCAAACATGAATACGAATATGAATATGGCAAGCATTAGCCGTTCAACGCATTTTCTTATTGGCTTTAATGTTTAAAAATTAAATAAAGTTACGGCAGAAACCGAAAATCTTTGTGCTAGGCGTTGTAATGGAATACACTTTTGCTTTTAATTTGATGTAGTTATTATATATGTACATGTACGAAGGATACTTATTATTAAATGAATCGCTTATTATTGTAGTTTAATTTAAGCAATTATACAAACGCATGTGAAAAAGGGGACGCAATGAAATAGTTGAAGCGTGGCAAATGAAATGCTTTTAAAGTCTCATTTTTTTACAAGAACCAAGCAAACTTTTTTCGCTTGCATATTTTAACAGTGAAATATACATAAATATACAATCTGAAAAGCAGTGCATAGATCAAATTTAAAGCATATACAAACAACATATGAAATTAATTCACATAGAAATACCAAAAAAACAGCCATTAAGTGTATCGCTAATTTTCGTAATGCACATCTTGCGTGAACGAGTATTTGTCAAAGAACCTACTTATTGAAAGGATTTAAACGTTTTAGCATCACCACTGTAATGGAATATGAATAAAATAATATTTGTGTTAAAAACATACAAGAAATATTGAATGAAAAAAAAAACATTATTGTATTGTAAACCCACACGCGTATGAATAACCAAATAAAATGCTTAATACAAATTTTGATTGGAGTTCGAATTTATGGATAAGGACTTTGGATATGGACTTTATCCGGAAATTACACTAACAAAAATTATATGGGAGAATTATATCCTGTAAGTATACAGGAAAAGGGTATACGATTTCTTTGAACTCTGTTAAAGATACTTTTTGTATCTATTAGTTAAACCTTCAGCGGAACCATTTTAAACCTCTAAATAGGGTTAAGTGCAAGATTTGATAATTTGATATAAAAGAAAAGTAAATAAAAAAATATAACATGATAAAAGAAAAAATTGCACATGAAATAATATTATCCGTGGTTATAGAAATATATATAAAAAACATATATATATACACATATATATATATTATATAAATATATTTATAAAATTACAAAAAAAAATTTATAAAAATAAATTTCTAAATTTGAATGCAGATTTTCAGAGAATTGCGCCAGAAACATTTAGAGGTATGCCACTTCAAAATCCGATTAAGATAAGTTGAGTTATGGAGTTTAGAACTTCAGTCTTGGGACATTTCCTAATTTTGTTGAGCTTCTACAACATCATAACATCAGAAAAATGACAAAAAGTGAAAAAAATATATATTTCTAAATTTGAATGCAGATTTTTAGAGAATGGCGCCAGAAACATTTAGAGGTATGCCACTTCAAAATCCGATTAAAATAAGTTGAGTTATGGAGTTTGGAACTTTAGCCTTGGGACATTTCTTAATTTTTTTTTAATTTCTACAACATCATCACATCAGAAAAATTACAAAAAATTAAAAAAAAAATATTTTTCTAAATTTGAATGCAGATTTTTAGAGAATTGCGCCAGAAACATTTAGAGGTATGCCACTTCAAAATCCGATTAAGATAAGTTGAGTTATGGAGTTTAGAACTTCAGCATTGGGACATTTCTTAATTATCTTGAATTTCTACAACATCATCACATCAGAAAAATTACAAAAAATTAAAAAAAAAATACTTTTCTAAATTTGAATGCAGATTTTTAGAGAATTGCGCCAGAAACATTTAGAGGTATGCCACTTCAAAATCCGATAAAGATTAGTTGAGTTATAGAGTTTAGAACTTCAGCCTTGGGGCATTTCTTATTTTTTTTGAGTTTCTACAACATCATAACATCAGAAAAATTACAAAAAAATGAAAAAAATATATATTTCTAAATTTGAATGCAGTTTTTCAGAGAATTGCGACAGAAATATTTAGAGGTATGCCACTTCAAAATCCGATTAAGATAAGTTGAGTTATGGAGTTTAGAACTTCAGTCTTGGGACATTTCCTAATTTTGTTGAGCTTCTACAACATCATAACATCAGAAAAATGACAAAAAATGAAAAAAAAAATATATTTCTAAATTTGAATGCAGATTTTTAGAGAATGGCGCCAGAAACATTTAGAGGTATGCCACTTCAAAATCTGATTAAAATAAGTTGAGTTATGGAGTTTAGAACTTCAGTCTTGGGACATTTCCTAATTTTGTTGAGCTTCTACAACATCATAACATCAGAAAAATGACAAAAAATTAAAAAAAAATATTTTTCTAAATTTGAATGCAGATTTTTAGAGAATTGCGCCAGAAACATTTAGAGGTCTGCCACTTCAAAATCCGATTAAGATAAGTTGAGTTATGGAGTTTAGAACTTCAGCATTGGGACATTTCTTAATTATCTTGAATTTCTACAACATCATCACATCAGAAAAATTACAAAAAATTTAAAAAAAAATACTTTTCTAAATTTGAATGCAGATTTTTAGAGAATTGCGCCAGAAACATTTAGAGGTATGCCACTTCAAAATCCGATAAAGATAAGTTGAGTTATGGAGTTTAGAACTTCAGCCTTGGGGCATTTCTTATTTTTTTTGAGTTTCTACAACATCATAACATCAGAAAAATGACAAAAAATTAAAAAAAAAATATTTTTCTAAATTTGAATGCAGATTTTTAGAGAATTGCGCCAGAAACATTTAGAGGTATGCCACTTCAAAATCCGATAAAGATAAGTTGAGTTATGGAGTTTAGAACTTCAGCCTTGGGGCATTTCTTATTTTTTTTGAGTTTCTACAACATCATAACATCAGAAAAATGACAAAAAATTAAAAAAAAAATATTTTTCTAAATTTGAATGCAGTTTTTCAGAGAATTGCGACAGAAATATTTTGAGGTATGCCACTTCAAAATCCGATTAAAATAAGTTGAGTTATGGAGCTTAGAACTTCAGCCTTGGGACATTTCTTAATTTTTTTGAGTTTCTACAACATCATAACATCAGAAAAATGACAAAAAATTAAAAAAAAAATATTTTTCTAAATTTGAATGCAGATTTTTAGAGAATTGCGCCATAAACATTTAGAGGTATGCCACTTCAAAATCCGATTAAAATAAGTTGAGTTATGGAGCTTAGAACTTCAGCCTTGGGACATTTCTTAATTTTTTTGAGTTTCTACAACATCATCACATCAGAAAAATTACAAAAAAATTAAAAAAATATATATTTCTAAATTTGAATGCAGTTTTTCAGAGAATTGCGACAGAAATATTTTGAGGTATGCCACTTCAAAATCCGATTAAAATAAGTTGAGTTATGGAGCTTAGAACTTCAGCCTTGGGACATTTCTTAATTTTTTTGAGTTTCTACAACATCATAACATCAGAAAAATGACAAAAAATTAAAAAAAAAATATTTTTCTAAATTTGAATGCAGATTTTTAGAGAATTGCGCCATAAACATTTAGAGGTATGCCACTTCAAAATCCGATTAAAATAAGTTGAGTTATGGAGCTTAGAACTTCAGCCTTGGGACATTTCTTAATTTTTTTGAGTTTCTACAACATCATCACATCAGAAAAATTACAAAAAATTAAAAAAAAAATACTTTTCTAAATTTGAATGCAGATTTTTAGAGAATTGCGCCAGAAACATTTAGAGGTATGCCACTTCAAAATCCGATAAAGATAAGTTGAGTTATGGAGTTTAGAACTTCAGCCTTGGGGCATTTCTTATTTTTTTTGAGTTTCTACAACATCATAACATCAGAAAAATGACAAAAAATTAAAAAAAAAATATTTTTCTAAATTTGAATGCAGTTTTTCAGAGAATTGCGACAGAAATATTTTGAGGTATGCCACTTCAAAATCCGATTAAAATAAGTTGAGTTATGGAGCTTAGAACTTCAGCCTTGGGACATTTCTTAATTTTTTTGAGTTTCTACAACATCATCACATCAGAAAAATTACAAAAAATTAAAAAAAAAATACTTTTCTAAATTTGAATGCAGATTTTTAGAGAATTGCGCCAGAAACATTTAGAGGTATGCCACTTCAAAATCCGATAAAGATAAGTTGAGTTATGGAGTTTAGAACTTCAGCCTTGGGGCATTTCTTATTTTTTTTGAGTTTCTACAACATCATAACATCAGAAAAATGACAAAAAATTAAAAAAAAAATATTTTTCTAAATTTGAATGCAGTTTTTCAGAGAATTGCGACAGAAATATTTTGAGGTATGCCACTTCAAAATCCGATTAAAATAAGTTGAGTTATGGAGCTTAGAACTTCAGCCTTGGGACATTTCTTAATTTTTTTGAGTTTCTACAACATCATAACATCAGAAAAATGACAAAAAATTAAAAAAAAAATATTTTTCTAAATTTGAATGCAGATTTTTAGAGAATTGCGCCATAAACATTTAGAGGTATGCCACTTCAAAATCCGATTAAAATAAGTTGAGTTATGGAGCTTAGAACTTCAGCCTTGGGACATTTCTTAATTTTTTTGAGTTTCTACAACATCATCACATCAGAAAAATTACAAAAAATTAAAAATAAAATACTTTTCTAAATTTGAATGCAGATTTTTAGAGAATTGCGCCAGAAACATTTAGAGGTATGCCACTTCAAAATCCGATAAAGATAAGTTGAGTTATGGAGTTTAGAACTTCAGCCTTGGGGCATTTCTTATTTTTTTTGAGTTTCTACAACATCATAACATCAGAAAAATGACAAAAAATTAAAAAAAAAATATTTTTCTAAATTTGAATGCAGTTTTTCAGAGAATTGCGACAGAAATATTTTGAGGTATGCCACTTCAAAATCCGATTAAAATAAGTTGAGTTATGGAGCTTAGAACTTCAGCCTTGGGACATTTCTTAATTTTTTTGAGTTTCTACAACATCATAACATCAGAAAAATGACAAAAAATTAAAAAAAAAATATTTTTCTAAATTTGAATGCAGATTTTTAGAGAATTGCGCCATAAACATTTAGAGGTATGCCACTTCAAAATCCGATTAAAATAAGTTGAGTTATGGAACTTAGAACTTCAGCCTTGGGACATTTCTTAATTTTTTTGAGTTTCTACAACATCATCACATCAGAAAAATTACAAACAATTAAAAAAAAAATACTTTTCTAAATTTGAATGCAGATTTTTAGAGAATTGCGCCAGAAACATTTAGAGGTATGCCACTTCAAAATCCGATAAAGATAAGTTGAGTTATGGAGTTTAGAACTTCAGCCTTGGGATATTTTTTAATTATTTTGAATTTTTTTCAACATCATAACATCAGAAAAATTACAAAAAATTAAAAAAAATATATATTTCTAAATTTGAATGCAGATTTTTAGAGAATGGCGCCAGAAACATTTAGAGGTATGCCACTTCAAAATCCGATTAAGATAAGTTGAGTTATGGAGTTTATAACTTCAGTCTTGGGACATTTCCTAATTTTGTTGAGCTTCTACAACATCATAACATCAGAAAAATGACAAAAAATGTAAAAAAAAAATATTTTTCTAAATTTGAATGCAGATTTTTAGAGAATTGCGCCAGAAACATTTAGAGGTATGCCACATCAAAATCCGATTAAGATAAGTTGAGTTATGGAGTTTAGAACTTCAGTCTTGGGACATTTCCTAATTTTGTTGAGCTTCTACAACATCATAACATCAGAAAAATGACAAAAAATTAAAAAAAAATATTTTTCTAAATTTGAATGCAGATTTTTAAAGAATGGCGCCAGAAACATTTAGAGGTATGCCACTTCAAAATCCGATAAGGATAAGTTGAGTTATGGAGTTTGGAACTTTAGCCTTGGGACATTTCTTAATTTTTTTTAAATTTCTACATCAGAAAAACTACAAAAAAAAATTGAAAAAATAAATTTCCAAATATGGTCGAAAACGCTTCCTTCTGCCTGTTACATACTTTTCAACGAATCTAGTATACCCTGTTACTCTACGCGTAACGGGTATAAAAATGTTGTATTTGTAATAAAAAGGTATAAAAGTGGTATTTTTGGAAACGGCATTGGTGGTATATTACGGTATTCATTTTACGGTCTGGCCGCATGGCATTTTTAATCGTCAACGGCGCGGTCACACTGAATCGGGCAACATCACCGTGAAAAAAGGAAAGAATTGGGGAAAATGTGGTTTTCGGTCAAGTGATAGCCGCAACGCAGGTGAGCTGGGCCGAGGGAAAACGGATAACCGAACCGTGAAAAGCGTCAACTGGCCGGAAAACTCCTTGGCTGGGCCCTATGCAATTCCTGGCCCCAAAAACTTGTCGACGTTCGGCTGTTTTTGTTGTTGTTGCTGCTGCTGCTACTGCTGCTGCTGCTGCTGCTTGCTGATGGCTGCATTTTCGTATTGGCATCGGATTTTTCTTGGGTACCATTCGACGTACATATAATCCGTAGGTGAAAAATCCAGAACCGAAGGGTGATGTGATGAGAAGGCAGTAAAAGAAAGGCAGTAGATACAGCAGATCCGTCGGATATTTCTAATTATACAACCCAGGCCGTAGCAAAAACGTATTTTCACCCGAAGATCCGAAACTGGTTATACACACATCGCAAGGAAGCACGGGAGGTTGGGAGGGTGAGTAAAAATCGATTTGTTGCACAAAACACACGACGAGTGGGCGAAAATCGGGGGCCGAAAAGTGGGGTGCGGCTATATAGCTGGCATAGCTATAGATTCTAGGTCGACCTGGGATTATAGTACAATATCTGGTCATCTTTTTTCTTGCAGGCTGCTACATGGACAAAATCAAGTTAAAGGTTATTGGCGTGCTGCGCGAACGCGATGGTGGAAATCGTAGTGGTTCTGGAGGATTGGCAGCAAGTGCTGGAGCAGGAGCTGGATCTGGCGGAGTATCGGCCACCGCTGGTCATCAGTTAGCCTCCGCAGGAGGAGTGGGCGTGGCGCAGCCCTCGATTGGGGTCACGCCGGATAATAACAACGAAGGCAACGCCCCGGGAAGTGGAGGAGGTGGATTAATGGAACCCCAGGCAACGGCAGGAGCCGGACCCTCTGGGGGAGTCGGTGGCGCCGCTAGAACATCGGTGCTACCCAGACCGCAGACCTCCAAGATTAGCGCCCTAGACCTGGCCGGCATACTCAACACCCGGAGAAGACTCGAGTGGACCAAGGAGTGGCTGCGCAAAAACCAGGCCGAGTTTCTCAGCAAGGAGAATTTACTAAGTGAACTGCAGTCGCGCAAGGATGAGTGCTATCACTTGAATTACTTCCTAGCCATAACAGAGAGCCAGTTTCGGTATCTAGTGCAAAAGCTGGAGCCCATCATAAGCCAGTATGCTCCGCAACGCAAGAAGAAGTCCTTCAGCGCCGAGGAGCGACTGGCCATAACGCTCAAGTATTTGGCAACGGGTAAGTATATGGACGTCCCATCATGGGCATACTAATGTACTTATCTCCCCCTTACCCCTTGACACAGGTGAAGTACATTCTTGTCGAAACTACTGCTTCCGTGCCTCGAAATTTGTGATAAACGAAATGATTGCCAATATCTGTCTGGGCTTCTACGAGCACCTCAAGGACCAATACGTGACACTACCAAAGACTGACGATCAGTGGCGCAGCGCCGCCGAGGAGATGGAGCGCAAGCACAACCTGCCCCACTGTGTGGGCAATCTGTTCATGCGCAGCATCCAACTCCAAGGCTCTGGGACCGGTTCGAGTTCCGGGGCGGCGAGCAGCGCATCCGCCGCTGGCGACGATCGCAAGCGCGCGACCGTCATCTTTACGGGCATCGTGGATGCCGACAACAATTTCCAGTACGCAAAGGTGGAACGGGCGGCGAGCAGCCGACCCAACGACATCTATAACCAGACCACTGCCGTTGAGCTGATTAGGCACAAGATGCACGCTCTGGAGGAACAACAGTCGGCGGAGATGGACCGACAGGGCTATTACTTTGCTGGCGATTCAGTGCTGCCAGCCACCTCGTATCTGGTGACCACACGCAATCTGCCCAAGGATCGGGCCGTACTGGAGGCCCTCGAGCAGGTCAATGCCCACGCGGATCAAACGATGCGGATACTGTGCAACATGTTCCCAATTCTGGCGCAGCCGCTGCGCATCAGTGACAAGCACATCCGCGAAGTGGTGCTCGGCTGTGTGGCCCTGTACAATTTCCTGCGCAAGACGGACGACTCATTTCGGCGCACCAGCGACAGCATCGTGCAACAGAGGGCAGAGCAACAGCAACTGGCCTACAGTGTCGATAGCGACGAAATTGACGACGATTGCATCATGCTGGCCACCGAGGAGGAGTTACGCGAGCGGGCGGAGTTCACGCCCAGCGTCGGACTGACCACCTGCTTCCAGCCGCTGTGTACGCAGCGTGGCGAGACGCCCGAAGGTCTGGCTAAGAGGGACTGGCTGCTTCAGCTGGACTTTGGCCAGCAGAGCGGCAACGGAAGCGGTATTGGCATTGGAATTGGAATTGGCAATGGTAACATGAGCGGAAACGGCGGCATGGGCGGCAGTACAGACAGTGCGAGCGGCAGCTCAAATGGGAGTTTATATTAGTGCAATTTACCTAAGTACTTTACGAATTTTGTATAGTTCCTTGTTTTATATTTTCTAAATCTGTAATCTGTAACAGCATCTGTTGCCCCGTTGCCACGTTGCCGACTATTGTTTACCTCTCTCCTTTGGCGCATTATCTACTGCATACCATTTATGATTACGTTCACGTTCGTTCCATCTGCGTTCCGTGCTTCATCTAGGGTTCTGTATAGTTAGCTTAGTTTCTTGCGGAAGTTCCGGTTCGGTGAACGATGCTATGTGATGTCTCAAATCTCTATTGTGGCCCAGTGCACTGCTCCTGGGGAGCGGCCTGCTTATGAAACGGGTCTGGAAACAAAAATAAAAGGCGGCAGCTGACAAAAATGTGCGAAGTCGAAGAAGTACATCGGAAACAGATCAACAAAATTAAAATTTTAGTATTCGTATTTAAGCAAAAAAAAAACAAATTATACATAATTATATTTACAAATAAATGTGTAAGGAGTGGTCTTTACGTGTCGAAACCTTATGCCATGCACTCTATATTTCACATTTCTTTGGACCAATTGGGCCACTGCTGCAGCAGAGTGTACAGTGCTTCGCCAGGACTCCTGGTAGCAATGACCTGGCAATGGCCCAGTAGTTTGTAGCCCTCCACCAACAGCGCCTGTTTGACCGCCTGCTCCAGCAGCTCCTTGGCGGCATCCAGGGCCACTTGGCTGGGCGCCCGCTCCTCAAAGTTGCCAATGAACGCGATGCCCAGGGAACCATCGTTATTGGGACCAGCAAAGGCACCTCTCTGGCTTGGACTTCTGCCCTCATATACCTTGCCATTTCCGCCGATCAGATAGTGGTAGCCAATGTCCGAGAACTTCTGCTTGGACATTTGGAAGTTCTGCAGATTTCGCATCTGCTGGGCGCATGTGACATCATCCGCACAGCTCCCTCCGGCTGTATGGGCAATCACAGCCCGGGGCATGGGAGTTTCCATGCTGTCTATGGTTCCGTTCGGCGGTTTGGCGTTCCACTCGGCCCTCGTCACTATCGCCACTTCGCCCTGGACAGCAAGTGCTGTGAGGCCAACGATGAGCACTCCGATCCAAGTCATTGCACCTTCGTGTCTGCCCACTGACTGGGCTGCGGATCTTATGTGCTGCGGCACCTATCGCCGCTGATAAGGGGAGATAGTCTACGACCCCATATTGTACATATGTATGTAGCAAATGAGATGAGGGGATTTTTCTTGCCGGTGATAGATAATTGACAGAGGGGAGTTCTATTACCTTCTGGGGGGTTACGATTAAAGGAACCACACTGAGAATTTGCGAAATGGGCAGAGTTTGGAAAGCAAAAGTCCCCTAACGACTACGCATTGTGGGTTACCGCAAAGGGGATTTTCTTTAATTTGTAAAAAATATAGTGCTTAATTCACTTACCACTTTTGTATGTATGTCTGTACTTCTTGTCGACCATATGGACAATTAGCATGAATGGATCAGCAGCAAAGAATGCACATACTTATGTACAATGTACACATGTACATAGAAAGCACTACACTACACTACATATGTATATGTACTACAAAGCACTGCACTACACTCTACATATACATACATTTACATATGCATGTACATACATACAAAGCACTAAAAAAAAAAAACATACAAAGCACTAGACAAACTTCTTGCCTTGGTATTTTTCATATTTCTTCTTTCTAATTTTACACTAACACTCGCGAATCAGGATATTTTGCATATTACTTTTCATATTAAGGACCACTTCTAATTATGTAGCTTCAACGGCAGCAATAAATTAACCGCACTATATTCACGAATTTAAATAACGGACTGCATTTGGTTGACGCGTTTGACGCGATCGAATTACAAGCCGAACTGCATGTAGTGCGAAAAAGAAAAAGAAGATGAAAGAGTGCGGGTTCGCGCAAGCGCCGTTATTTCTATTGTGTACAGCATACTCATGCGCACGTGTTCGGCCCATCGAGTAAGAACTAACTGTAATCAGTTTTCTCTCCGTAAGCAAACGTAAGTGTTTGAAGCGATCGCTTTACTCGCCGAAAGCGAAGGCCTCTGTTTTCGCGCAAGTACCGCTTTTTTCACCTTGTGATGCTCTCCTTGATCGAATATGTTTCAGTCTTTCCTTTTATTTCGGCAAAGTGGTTGGTTTGCTTACGGTGCGCGAGGTTTATTCCTTTGTAAATAAATAGCTGCGTTCTATACGTTGACTTGAAACTCACTGTTATGAGCTATCTAAAGAGTTACATTCTATACAACGGCAAAGTAGAACGTTAATTTGATTTGGTCGGTCAGCTAAAAACAACTGCGAGGTGCTATGTAGTAACGAATGGAACCAACACTTTGGCGGCGGCTAATTTTTTTTATTTTTTTTATTGTGTTGTGTTTTTTAGTGTGTGTAATTTTTGTGTCTTTTTTTGTGTGTGTTTTTTGTGAGTGTGCTTTTTTTTGTGTTTTTTTTTTGTGTGAAATTAGTGTTTGTGTGGCATTAGTGAAATTAATAACAAAGGCTTGAAATAAATATGTATGTATATATGTACATATGCAGAAGTTAAGGTAAGTTCTAAATTTGTAATATTTAGAAATAAAATGAATTGGTTTTATAATATACATATGCATATTTTGGGAAGCGCACTACTCTACATAAATGGTACTAAATTATAAAATTTGAAATTGCTATTATAATTCGAAAATTTTATGATATACTTTCCACGGGTATTCCCCTGAAATATTCCCTGAAATGTATTGAGGCAACTCGATTTATGCGTACTTTATGCCAGTTAATACGAGCCCACAGAAACCTCAACTTGACACAGATGTTCTAGGCAGTGATTTAATTAAAAAACTTTTGCAATTAAATGCAAAAACTGCAAAAAACAATGCGGAGTGCAGGCCATTAAGCCCCCAAAAAGGGCGTGGTGAGGAAGTGAAGTCGCAAAGTGACAACGAAAATGCAAGTAAGCGCCCTCAATTAAAACCCAAAATGAATATAAAATGCGATGGCAAAAAGGAGGCGGCGAGCCAAGCCGCAACATCCAGAAAACCCAAAAAGCCGGGCTAAAACCGAAAACCGAGGCCAAAACTATGCGCGGCTGGAAAAACCAGCTGGTGGCGGGAAAAACTCGCCGTTAACTTGAATTTAAGTGAGTTGGGCGCTGGAAGCACCACTCGAAATCTGCCCACTCCAAAAACCATGTTGTATGCTTATTCGAATTGTTATTTGGGAGAGTTCGTAGAGTTCAAATGTCCTTCGCAGAGGAAAACATATTTTTTTCGCCGAGTCCATAGTCTCAATTTAATCTGTCCCGCATTTGGGTTGCAATTTTGGGGCGCCAAGTTGGCTCATTTGCAAAATTGTCAGATTTATTTCGCTAATTGCTGCTCATCCGTTTAATTAAAATTAAAAGAACTTGCACAAGTTTAGGGCCAAAGTTTTTATGCGAATTCACTGGAATCTCGCATTGGGCACGTTTAGTTTTCCCTCGCTTTCCCGCGTCTTCCTTTTCCTTTAGCATTTTCCATTTTCCATTTACCCCACTGCCGTTGGCACACAAAGCCATCTATTCAATTGCATGGAAAACTTGGAGAACCCATGATGTTGACGATGACGCTGGCGATGTTGATTATGATGTTGCAAGATGAAGAGTAGGCCTGCCATTTCTGGACAGCAAACAAATTAAACGGCAGGCTCCGTTAAAGCCGTCGCAAATTCCCAAAAGGTGTCAATCGTGCGAGCCCGGAAAGTTGTGGCTAACAGCAGCAACAATTTGCACCCAATTCTGCAACATCTGCTGTCTGCCACGCCCCCTCCCGACCATTTCCCTTCCTACGCCCCCCCAGGGCTTTTCCACGAAACAGGAAAGAGCAAAAGTTGCCTGCAACTGCAACCACAGTGCGGATTTGGATTTCAAGTAACTTTGCACTGCGGATTGACACCTCCCTCTGCTTTCCGCCCCCGAAATTCGAAATTGGTGGGCGTGTCAGATGGGGGCAGTGGGGCGGTGTGGGGGGCGGCATTTTTATGACAACTTGCTTAAATTCCGTACCAAGAACTCGAGCAGAAAACGAAAACTTATTTCGTTTACGAGTCGCGCAACTTGTGTCCTGATATTTTCGAAGGCGCTGACGTCTTATTCGCTAATGAATAAAGTTCCCGGCTATGAATATGCACGAGCAGAATTCGGGACCTTAACCTTAAAGTTGCTTCGAACTTGCTGTTACGCAATGATTGAACTTTAAACTTGTAAATTCAAGCGTGATAATTTGGGCCACCTAAGTTCATCCCACATTCCCCCATTCAACGTCATTCTATGGCAAATAGTAGTTTTACGTTTAATCGCCTTGTTTTTACTCGGGTGGGGGTAACCAAATGCAGCTATAAATAAATAACGAGAAGCTTATAGTAATCATAATATTTTAAGGCAATCTAATTTGGTCAAACACATTTGTGCTTATATGTTAAATTCTCATTAAGCATAAGAGCATATTTCCCAATTCAATCAAAATATCAAATTAAACTAAAACATGACTTAATTCGGGTGATCTGAAATGCAATGAGCCCGAATGTCATTCTATAAATTTGTGGCTATACTAAGATTGCAAAATTGCACAATGCATCTGCAATTTATGCATTGCTTTTTGGCTGGCGAACCACTTGATTGCCGACTTTAATGGGCCCGTAAATATGTTAGGCTTTAATAGATTGCACTATGATAGTTGAAAGTTTGCTCTACTTTTCACATTTCCCCATTTATTATATTATGAACTGCAGTCTTTTGTGCTTACATCTGCTTTCCCGATGTTGCAGTTTTGCTCGCCGCAGCATTTGTAATATGCCATGGAAGTTATGCGCAACAATATGATGTTATATTAAAGCCAAACGATGTGCGTAACTGCAACATCATTGTCCTTTGGTCCTTGCCACTTTTGGCGACCAAAAGAAGAAAGAAAAACCCGACTCCATCTTCCTTCGCCATGCTGACATCTTGTCACAAAATTTTCATGCTGCTGTAAGCTGTTTTCATGCACATTTTGGCCACTTGTGCTCCGCACAAACACTTCAATTTTTGGCTTCAAGGATGCGTGTGTTTGGCCAGGATCCAGTATGCAGCATCCAGGATCCTCAGACGCAGCCGATCCAAGCAGGCGGACCAACAGCCAGCAGTCCCTCGAGCAGCCCCTCAAAGTGCCGGAAGGAAGTGCGCTGGGGGAACCTACTGGAGGCTGGCGCTACGATACGATATAGGGGCGACTCTTTACTCTTTAACCATAACTTTTGACATATGCTAGGGAAATATTGTGGGAGTGCACTCAATCGTGGTTGGCGTCCTGGCATCGCCATCAGCAGACCCTGAGCTCTGCTGCTATTTGGAGCTTCGATGGGCGGGGGGTTAGCATGTGCAATAGTAGGGCTGCCATCAACTACTTAGCGTCAAAACGCTTAAAGTTGAATTTGTAACGCTCGAAGTGCGGCGACGACCAAAGTCAAAGCCAATGGGGTGTGTGCGAAAGGGACAGGCGCAGCGGGACGAAGGACGAAGGACGAAGGTGCCGTCTAATGCCAGTTTACTCATCTATTTTTATTAAATCGCCTCGGATGCACACACACTTTACACAACCCCCGCCCCACCCCTTTCACCCCTTTTGACCCCCTTTGTTGCATCGCCCGAAAAACGTTACGTATACGCTGTGTGGGCCAGCAGAATGAAGCAGTAGCCACGGGGGTCGTAAGGCATCATCAAAAATATTATTTATCGGGCAGCCGAACATTTCCTTACAAACTACGAAGTTAGCTTCTATTTGAATGAATTCTTGAAAGTTATTTTTGATTCCTTTTTAATTACATTTTACGTTGCAGTTCTGCTTTATACGTTTTTGTAGTCTTTTCAAAGCGAAACCAATTCATTACTGAGATAATTTGAACGTACAACATTTCATGAAAGCATGTTGCAAGCTCAACAGAAAGTGGTTATTAAGAAGTTATTTATCGCTTAGATTTCTCCAACTGCTAACTGCAAAATAATCAAAATGCAACTGCGGAATAAAAAGTAAATAAAGTAGAAACTGTGTTGCAATTACAGGTGGAGACCCTCCTGATAAGCGTATGAAACAGCATTTCAGGTAATTTCTTTAAGAACTACTTGAGCGAATATGGCATGACCCTTAAAAATACGTACATACACGTATATATATATAGATGGCAAGTGTGTGGCGATGGCAACGGGAGGTCGAATGACTTTAGAGCCTTGATTGCTGCACTGCAGTGCCACTGGGCAGCTGTTTGCCACCCACATCGCCTCACCTCGCCTCGCCTCACCTCACCTCACTTCACTTCACTTCGCACAGCAGCTTATTTTGGGGGTTTAATTTTGATTTAAACGCTGGCAGACAGCTTGAAGCCCGCTGCGTGCTGAACCGGAAGCACAGACATGCCCGTTCACTTGGACATGGCAGTTTTCAGCTTTCGGTTCGACTCTGCATCAAGTTTTCTCCTCTCGCATCTGGGCTCTATTGAAATTTAAGTTGCACTTTCTGTGTGGCAAAAGGCAGTGGCTGTGGCAGTGGCAGTGGGTGGCTTGTGGTGGTTGCTTTTCGGGTGCTCGGCTGGCGGAACTGGGCTAATTAAAGGACACTTTAAGGCCACTGCTTTGCTAACCAATCGATGCTGCTTGTCAGCCATTTAATTTTCATTAGATTAAGAAAAGCACCTCAGTGGGCGGACTCCCAAAGATCGAGGCGCTGCTGTGTACAGGGAAAACAATGAAGAGGAGCAACAGAATTCATTTTATTTTGCTAGAAATACGGCAAAAATATAAAAAGGTTACTTTACTATTTATGGATGGTTTAGTGAATGGATTTAGCATTTTTTACAATGCCCAAGTAGCTCAACTTGGCTCAATGAAAGCTGCATTGATACACAAACCTGTTATATAATTACCAGTTCGAATGGTTTTTCTGTGAGTGTCCTGAAACAGATAGGAATAGGGACTATCCAGACGGCTGCCGTCTGGCAATAGCTGCTGTAGCTATTGCTGTTTGCTCTCGTTCTCGTAAATGTAAAAGTTGCAACTTGTAGCCTCAAAATAACCACAAAGTAAACACCAGAGTGGCGCAGTCAGGAGTCGGTTGTCCGTGGTCCGTGGTCGGTAGTCCTTCGTCCTGCGTCCTGCGTCCTTCATCCTCCGCATCTGTCCGCAGTTGCTGAGTGGCTGTTTCGGTGGCGAAAGAGGGGTACGTCTATTTGAATAGCCGGCGAAGACATTGCGTGCTCTCGCACACAGTTGCAGTGCCACGGACAAGGACATTGTACGTGCGAACAGGACACGGCGATGGCGAAGGCGATGGCGATGGCGATGCGTCGATGTCCTTCGGCGGAGCTCAACCGAACTGAACTGAATCGAGCTGGCCAAAATAAATAAGCGTGTAATTTAATATTAAAGGCTTTGTGAGTAATTATTTCATCGCAGATGGCGCAACTTTTCCTTTGTCGTTGCCAGGGCAAAGCCCAAATGAACAGGAGCAGTGGTCTAAGGGTCCTTGCGATGGGAGGAGGATACTCTTGATCAGATGCACTCCTGCTGGCAGCTAGTTGTGTTGCAGCAGCACTCATAACTCGCAGTTGGGATGGCAGCGGGACTTGTTAAAGTGACCCACTTGCCTCACATTTGTCTTTATTAAATGCGAAAAATTACGAGCTCACGAGCATATAAATTATAAACCAATTTAATAACCAGCCAGCCAGGCACAAAATGTGCTCAAAATGAACTACCAATTTGTGGAGAACAACGGAACGAAACATAATAATGGGTCCGGGTGAGCGTGAACATGAATTACGGGTACGAATGCATGGTGGGTAGGTACTTGACATTAGGTGGCTTGGAAAATTCGGAGGGCTTCCCAGTTTCCCAGTTTCGCAGTTTCGCAGGCTCACAGCTTTTCGGTTTCACGCAGGGGAACACCTGTGCGAGCCATAGGGTTTTTCCCACTCCTTTTCTTTCGCCGATATGTATGCATTCCCCCCGACTTTTCGCTCTGAATATGCGCATAGTTTAAGCTTGTAATTATTCCAACATTTAGTTTAACATTTAGCCACGCCCACACGGCCCCCTGACCCCGCTGCCGCCACAAATTTGCCATGGAAACGGTGTGCATTTCGCTTTGGAAACTCTCGCCCAGGAAAAACTCGAGTTCGCTGCATGCGCGTGTTAAAGTGAATTTGAAATGATTTATTGCACATCTAGCCAAACCACTGATACTACAAATTCTACAATTACAGGGCACACACCCTCATCTGAACACCCATTTCTGTGACCTTACATCTCCTGGCTTTTTTGCAGTGTTTTTCCGGCTCTTTCTCCTCGGCTCGTTAGCATGTTAATTGTAAAGCGTGTCCTAATTGCATTTTACCTGCAAAAGTGAGTCCGGGTTTTTGTCTCACGCTGTGAGCTTAAAGCCATTATGCTATATAGAGTCACTAGAACAGATTGATGGTAGTATATTGGGAGTTCTGCTGTGTTTTGGAAATGGTCCACAGTCAATTTATAGAGGAACCCCATTTTTAAGATACTTGTATCAATATTCGTACGAGTTTTGTAAACAATTTGAAGGGGGAAATTTAATTTTTGTAGGGCAAATATCGAAAATATACCATATTGTTGTTACTAATTGTACTTTACTTAATAACTTTATATCTTCAACCACGAATAACTTAATATTTGCATAAGTCAACTTCAAACTTATGCTGGGGTAAGAAAATGCACTCAAAAAAGTATAAGACTGTTTCCAACTTATACAGGGGTGGCTAACAAATCACTCGGTTCGGTTTCGAGTAAAAGGACCAATTGGAACCCAATGGGAATGCAAAGTTGCATCAAACTCAAATGAGATCCGCAAGCAAACCTTGTTTGAAGTCCTTCCCAAGGCCCCTCCGACTCGCAACTCAAACTCAATACAGAATCTATTCAAACAAGTCCGGGTTCGTGTCATACAGTGCCCGAAAATGAGCTTCGAACTTTGCCAAGTTGAGCTACGAACTTTGCAGAAACGAGTGAGTCTCAAATGAAAGTTAAGAAGCGGAGGTGTTCGAGTGGATTGTGGAGTGCCTTGTGGGCGATTCACGATAATTATTAATAATGTTATTTAATTTCGTAAATTAATAAGGCCATTAAGCACGCGCAGAGACCAAAAAGGTAAATGAGCAAATTAAACAAATTGCCAACTGCAATCGAAAATCACATCAATCAGGCAGCTGGATCTCAATGGCATGGTGGCATATTTATGGTCCAGATAGCTGGATAGAGTAGGTGGCCTCTGGGGATAGTGGCTTAAAAAGGTCGCCACCAAAGCATAAAAATAAATTGATATCACAGCGAATTTGAATGAGCAATATGGTGCTCCTGCTATTTTTCCTGCCCTGCCACTCGTTCATATATCAGCGCTTCTTTTTTGCCATGAATTATTTTGCCCGCTGCATGTGAAATTTTGGCCAAACAATTGCAAAGCAGCAGATACACTTAAAGAAGACTCAATAACAGGAAATGATTAGATGCCTAACAAAATATGCAGCAACATATGGAGATTGCAAATATGCAGATTATGTTGCTTTTCACAGCATTCAATGTACACCTCTTAAGATTTGCATATAAAAGCAGGAAAATATAGAGATTTTTATCCGTGTAATCATAGTCGTGGAATGAATATGATGCATGAAATAACAATAATGAAATGACAACAAAAGGCACGGATAACAAAAGGATTGCCAGCGAGAAAGAGTCAGATGCACGGTTGATGGATAGAGAGGCAGATATGGAGCCACATGACTGGGGCAATTCAAAATCAAATGTGATTTTTGGTCACTTTGAAAATTGTTGATTAGTGACGCCTGAATGCAGCCCAATGAAACCGGAGGCCGCTGCATTAAAGCAATTTCAAGATCTCCGCCCGCCTGTCACTCAACTGCCGGAATCCAAAAGGGTAGTACCCTGGGAAATGGATTAGAGGTTGGGATTGGATGGGATGGAATGGAATGCTATGGGATGAGTTGGTCAGCTGGACATGGCACTGAAAGTGCAGCTCAGCCGGGCGTGCACTTGGCACACTAGTCCCAACAATTGATGGGGTAGAAAAATAAAGCACAAAAATGGCAGGGACCTCTACGTAACCATAACCTCGGCTGTGTGCACGGCAGTGTGTGTGTGGGCGATTCCATTTAAACAATTAAAGCAACATAAATTAAAAATGTGGTCAAGCGCCGGTCACCGCCAACAGCGACAAATTGCATGTACTAGTGGTAACTAGAGCCACATCTGCCACGCCCCCACATACACATCAGTGCCATTAATTCGAGCATATTAATTCGTATCCACATGCCACTCTTCTGCGTGTGTTTTTGGTTTTGGCTTAAATACCGCAAACGGGACGCTCCCCTTTATTGTTAATCAATTACAATCTGCAGTACGCACTCGATCTTTGCCGAATTATTAGCTCTATTGTTCGAATTGGCTGGAATTATCAGCTCAATTGTTCGAATTGGTTGGGAAAATCATTGGGAAATACGCTCGATTTTTTAAGCTGCATAGTCTTAAAGTAGGTCAACACTTTAAAGACTATTTGCAAGTCCATTTTCTGCAGTTTACGTGTTCATTTCCGTCAGTTTGAGTGCATTTTTAATCGATTTATAGTTATTACGGGATACAAATTAATTGTTATATAATCCACCAGTGTTAAGTCGGTAAGTACATGTATTTATTTATTAAAATTTTATTTATTAACATTATTAAAAAATACAATGATTGTTCTTCAATTTAATTTTATATTTTTTCTTTTGTAACATAACTATAAAAACTATGTTTTTTATTCTGATAATACCTTTTATTACACTTATTCTCGGTGTTCATTCGGTGTAATATTTCTATCTTTTGTTAAGATAGAAAACCGCATCTTAAATTTATTTGCGCATTTGAATATCCGTTATCAGTGCAATGTGGCTGTATTCTGTTTCAGTATTTTAAACATGAGTTGGTATATTTTGAGGAGAAATATAGGCTCGGGATTTTTTAGCGCCCAAGTGTGGGTCACACTGCAGCTCGTGTTATTTAACGTTCGGCAAAAACATCTGTTTATTTCAATTAAAATAAGTAAATTGCACCATGTTAGGCCTACGAGCGGTGCTGCCAAAAGGGAAGCAGTTCGCTGTTGTCCTGGGAAGTGCCAGCCGACAGATTACCCTGCCCCACAACTGCAGATGCATTACGAGTGCCACTTGGATAAAAGCACAGCAGTCACCACCACAAAAGTTCCAGCAAAACAGGTGGCTTTCGGCGAAGTCCACGAAAACTGAATCCGAGGATGCACTGCAGCGGATCTACTATGGAACTCTGGCGCCCCGAATGAAAATGGTCAAGTTCTTTTCGCTGAGCACCAGCTTGGCCGGCTTGGCCGCCCAGCCCATTCTCCTCGAGCAGGGAATGAAAATCGGCGGAACTGGAATGGCCGTATTCCTGTGCACCGTCGGTGGATTCTTCACATTTGTGACTCCCCTGTTGCTGCACTTCATCACCAAGAAATACGTGACGGAGCTGCACTATAATCCACAAACGGGGGAGTACACAGCCACCACAATATCCCTACTTCTGCAAAAGATCAAGGTGGGTGGAGTTCAATATAAATAAAGGTTTCAGTCTTAAATATACATGTTATTTACCTTCTAGACCACGTTCCGAGCAAATGATGTGGTCGTTCCGGAGGTTCCCGGCATGTTCACCTCTTTTCTGGTCAACAAACGACCACTTTTTGTGGATCCGGCGCTCTTCGACGATCCCGAGCACTATGTTAAGATAATGGGTTACGACAAGCCGATCGATTTCAAATTGGATCTGACTCCGAATCCTGAAAAGCCGAAAAAGAGTGAGGAGCAGCAATAAAAAGTAACTTCTTAATTTCGGGTTTTTTTTTTTTGCAATTTCGTATTTAAATGTAGCACTCATAAAATACTGTGAAAACAAGTAAAGGTAAGAAAAAAACTTTTGCCAGCAAGCAAGGAAATTTACTCGAAATTTAATTACATTTTATTTTTGTTGAGTTCTGAGTTTGTGGTTGCCAGACTTATATGAATTTAGGTTTTTTTTTGGTATTATTTGGGTTGGTTGAGCTTATTATAAATTTCCAACGCGGTCACACATTTATTTACATCGAACATATGATGGGCACGCCGGAATTAAAAATAATATTAGAATTCAGGTAAAGCTTTATTTAAGCATTACTTGAGGCAATTTATCATTTAATTTCATAGTGCAGGAGCGGAGTTACTATTTGGTAACATAAAACGCCGTGAACTGGCTTTGGACGGTAATCAAAAATGTATGTTTTAAAACAGTTCTTAAAATTAAATAATCAGCATTGAATTATATATATTAAAAAGGGACTATTGCTAATCTGCTTAAGTGGATGCATGCCAATATTTTAACGGAGCGTCCGGAACTCTTTCTTCAGGGAGATACTGTGTAAGTTGGCCTAAACTATAAAGGTTATTTTTCTAGTTCTTGGTTTCTAATATCTGCTTTTTCAGGCGGCCTGGAATTTTGGTTCTCATAAATGATACAGACTGGGAACTGCTGGTAAGTAAGAATGCAGAATATGGAATACTTTTATTACAAATAATTCAACTTCTAGGGTGAACTGGACTATGAGCTGCAACCCAACGACAATGTGTTATTTATATCCACTTTACACGGCGGTTAAAAAATGTTCTGGACACTAAATTAGTTAGAGAGTTTATTTTTGTACTGCTTCCATTAAATGGTAAAAAAAAGAAGCAAAACAGCATTTGACTGAATCAGAATTACGTCCCTTTACCAAAGGCAAAGGCCCACACGATGGTTCGGGTAGTAAAGTTTTCATCATATCATCCAGAGATTGTAAGACAGCACGTTATTGCTATTTATACAAGCAGCGCGATAAACAAGCACTTGGGAATTATAATGCAGCCTTTTTTATAAACAGAAAAATTCAGCTGTGCCTTGGCGTGTTATACGAAATGAAGTGAACACAACGCGTTCGTTTTACATTGAAGCAACATTTATTGATTTTAAATTTTCGCTTAAAGTTAATTATCGAGTTATTATGAAGTATAGATATATTTTTTTATGTTCGTTTACGATTATTTTAACTATAGGCACTTAGGTTACATATCAACTAACTGTACGTAATGAAGTTCGATTCAGATATGCTGGGCATCGGCCACGCCCCTTTTTCGGGTGCTGCTCATGGCTCCCATCGATTTCTGTGTGTGGTGCGGATCGCTCGATTGTGTGTACTAAGAACTAGATATGTATGAAAATTGCTTCGACATTGACACGCTGAATTCAATAATTTCGACTGATTATTGCGAGAGAACAAGGCCAAACGGAAAGCAGCGACTATGACAAATTAACGAAAACTAAAAATGTAATAAATAATAAATAACAAGAATAATGAAATAAAATTAGCGATCGAACGCAATATGTTGATACTACATGGATCCGTTGAAACCGTTCTGCTAAAGCTATTAATGGGGATTTATCCTATATCTAGATGCGATGCTCCACGAGCTCCTCTATTTGCCGATTTCCGGACTTGCGGATTCCGCTGCATGGGCGTAGGATCGATATCGCCGCAGGATCACCGTGGACGCACTCGTCGTTGAAGCTCCGGATGCTCCAGTCGTTGATGTGGACCAACTGCTTCGGCTGCTCTCCGCCGCCGATTGTTCCTGATCCGGGGTAACGCACATGTCCGAGACAATGCCGCTCTCTGAATGGGGGGATATTTACACATATTGGACATTATATTTCGGATACGGACAGGTGTCGCCAAAGCGTCAACAACATATAACATGGATCAATAAACATGCAGCACACGACAGGCACGTATTACGGATTACGGGTTAGGTTTTGGTGTTGGTGGGGATTATATACAGTAATACTGGGGGTTCTTCGAGATTATGTACAGGGAACAACTACTAGCTACGGGATGCATCTGGGGTTCTAGAAGAAGTAGCACAGTTCAAGCTCAATACCCATGGACAGCTGGCTGACAATGGTCGTCGATCGTTTGTGGTGTCGTTTGCTGCTCCTGAGGCCGTTTCCATTTCCGTTTCCGGAAGTGCTGCCTCCTTCGGCAGCCGTATCCGCCCCCTTGATTCCGCCTCCACTCGGGGATTTGGCCAACTTCAAGGCCTGTGTTTCGTTGATTAGCTCCAAAGTGGCACTGCAGTTGGTGGAACTAGCGCTATGTGCCCCAGGCAGCTTGCCAAAGTGCAGGCTGTGCCTGCTACCGCCATCGTGGTGACCCGACGAGGAGCCACCGCTGATGGAGGAGCCACTGGTGGTGCTGGTGCCGCTGGACAGAGAGCTCTCCGATATCAGCGAATTGGGTCGCCGCATGCTGCCCTTTCCAGGCTCCGAGTGGCGCAGCTTGGGAGCTACGCAAGGATCAGCGAGAAAGAGATTAAACCATAGAATTTTAGCCATAAGCTAGGGATGGCTTATTCCAAGCGGTACTTACTCTTATTCAGCTGTGCCAGTGGAATGGAGCGATCGCTGATCTGGTTGTTGCTGGGTCGAATATCTAGACATGGCTTACTGCCAATGCCCATCGAGGACATCTCCGCCAGGCGAACTTCTGTAAAGTAATGGGTATTAGTTGGGCATTTGCTGATCAGATATTGTGAGTCACACGAACCTCGGTTTCGTTTCGCCTGCTTCCAGAGCAGTTTGGAGATCTCCTCGGTCCAGGCATTCTTAATGTCCTCCGACATGCACTGCAGCATCCACGTATCATCGGGCTTTCGTTTCCGGAACCAAATCTCGAACTTGGTGGCCGAATCACCCGTGTGCGCTGTGAGGCCGATATCTGAAGTTTTTATGCTGTTCTTGTAGATGTAGATATCCAGATTCTGTTAGGAAAATACAAAGTATTTTTAAGCAGCTCTCATTTCTTTTATAAATATTTTATGAGGTACCTTAAGCCTTTCAAACGTTGCCTTTTGATGCGTGAGAGTTAAACATAAAAGGTGTTTATATTTTTGGCCTGCTTTCTAACACACTAAAACCACTAATTGGCTTATAACAAATGTTTCAAACCGAAACCTACTTTTTCTATATTTTTAGGTTTATATTTTAGGTGCTTACCTTATGATCGGGAAAGCGACGAGCTTTGCTGAAGAGCACCAGTTCCTCGAAGAGGAACACCTGCCGCAGTGTTTTCTTGCCACCGCGTCCTTGCCAAACGAGGAACTCATTTTGGCGCAGGAGTCGTCCCTGCTCCTTGACATTCACATCGCAATCGCGCAAAGAGTCCATGGCCAGCAGGTCATTTCCATGGCGCAGCTGAAACTTGACCATTTCCTCCGCTCGCTGCAGCTCCTCCACATCCGCGGCGATTTCTTGAAGAGCTGCTCCTTCCACTCCTTTGCAGGCTTTGACCAACTGCTGCAGCAGCAATGCATACTTTCCCATTCTCTGCACAGGTTTCAGGAGGTAGGAGGCCAGATCAAGCTTATCCTGGAGCTGCATTTGCTTGGGCTTGAAAAAGGAGCTACCATACTCGCTAAGCAATGTATCGCTTTTGGGTTTATTCTTGTTGTACAGCGCATATAGGTAGAATTTGGACTCCATCTCCAGAAAGGCAGCTCCCACTTTCAAGGGATTCCTCTCATAGCGTTCCAGTTCGCCCAGAAAGTGCGAGTTGTGGAACTCGAAGATCTTCTCGATATTGCCGAAGATCACATTTCGCTGACCCCTCAGCGGCTGGGGTATATCCTCACGCAGCAGTTCGTCTATATAGTTCTCGATCACGTAGTACAGGGAGCGGACATAGTCGCGTTCGGTACCAATCATCTCGCGCATGATCAATAGAAGCGTTCTAAGTGGGTTTTACACATTATTAGGGTAGCTCAGTTGGTGTGGCTGATGGAACTCACTTTTGTATCTTGGGATCCAGGCAGCTGAGCTCCTCCAGCTTGGGCAGCTCCAGACTGGAGCCATGGCACTGCAGGTGGGCATTCGCCTCCATGGGCGAGTGCATGATGTCCATGTATCTTTTAGAGGGTCGATCGAAGCACTCGTCCTCGAGCAGCTCATCGTGACTGGAGAGGATTGGTTTTGGATAATATCCAGAAAATTATAGTGTTGTTTGCCCAGTACTCACCTCTTTTCGTTAAGGCTTTGGCAGGAGCAGATCCTGGCCAGCTTGGGATTGCGTTCGCAATTGTCGCACACGCCCACACCAGAATCGGCGATCTTCGACTGCTGTTCCTCGCCATCACCACCGTCGCAGTCGTGATCGCGCTCCACTTCCTCCTCCTCCATTTGGTCCATGTCCTCCAGGTTGCGACTTTCCCGCCAGCAACTGCAATTGCTGCTGGAGGGACCTCCCTCGAAGGAACTCCCACTGGCCGAGCTGCAGCGATAGCTAACCCGCTTACCAGCCGCTGGAGCCGGTGTGCTACTGGCCACTGGCAGGGAATGGCTCTTCCGCATCGCCGGCCAGTGCTTCTCCAGCAGGGAGGTGGCGCCCAGTTGCTCCGCCAAACGCTGCAGTTCCTCCTTGACGGCGGTTTCCCGCTGATGCTGGGTGAGCAAGTGCAGCAGACGGCCAGCAGCCTCATAACGTTCGTGAGCCAGCTCCAGTTTCTGGGCAAACTGGTCCAGGGCAGACTTTAGGTTATTGGCGCTCTCACTTAGGACAGAGACTTTAAGCGCAGCAGCATGCAGGTCGCGTCCTTTAGCCAAGTGTTTCTATGGGATTAGAACCATTAACCAGGAGTTCTAGACTTCAATGGATTCACTTACCATGGCTATAAAGTAGTACTTTTCAAACTCCTGTTCCTGAGTCCTCAGCTGCGATTCGTTGTCCCACTGCAAGTGGGAAAACTTTTGCAGATTCTCCGCTCCATCGC